CCAGCAGCTCACCCACAGCAGGGTGCCCAGGGTCACAGCCAGGTGGGTTTGGGATCTCTCCAGAGCAGGAGACTCCACAGCCTCTCTGGGCAGCTGCTCCAGGCTCGGCCACCCTCAGAGCAAAGTTTTTCCTCACGTTTCAAAAAATATTCCTTATGTATTTAAACGTCTCTTTTCACATGCAGGCCCATGGCCTTGCCAAACTCCCCCACTCCAGCTCAGTTTGCTGAGCTGGGGCTGTTGCTTGGCTGCAGGTGTTGCAAAGGGGCAGCTGCTGCCCACCCTGCCCCCGGGCACTGCCTGGTCATGCCCTGGTGGGAAGGAGCAGATTAGCTCCGGGGGGCAGCTCAGCACGGGGAGGTGCAGGGGCTCTGCTAGAGCCAGTGAAGCCAGCACTCCCCACCCAGCACCCGGGGCACCCCTACCTCGTTGTTCACATCACACGTCTCCAGAGTCAGAGTGCTGTTGTCCACGGTGATGCATCTTGCCACAGCCACGTTCACAAGCTGCAAAACAGCACAAAATGCCAATTCAGACCTGAACTGCCAGGGCAGAGGAGAGGCTGCTGCACTGCAGTCGTGCTGCTGGATCCACAGGACACTGCTTAATGCTGTCCACCTAGGAGAGTGAAGCAGAGCTGAAGTGGCACAGTCCTGCAGGGTGTGCAAGTGCACATCTGGGCCACTACGTGTGTTTTCCTACCCAGAGAAGCTTCAACTAACCCTCTCCTGAAAGGAAAGGCTGGGTGAGACACGTTCTTCTCTGTGGGTCTTTTTGGGCATAGCTCATTCCTGTTCTGCAGATCCCCAAAACAACAGCTCCCAACAGGAACTGCAGAATCCCTCCCTGCTGCCACACTGTGCAGGATGGGGACAAGCACCACACCCAGCTGACACAAGCACCCACTGGCCCCATCCCAGCTCTGGCTGGTCCCCTCTCAGCTGGGGTATGGGGTCCTGTGCTCTGGCTGCCCACCAGGACCCTGCACCCTCGGGGAACCTCTCCCATCACTGCCTAGGTCCTCACCCCGAGCAGACCCTTCCTGCTTAACACCCACCTTGGTTGGATTGATGCCCATCATCAGTGGGGAAAGGCAGGGGAGGTTGAGGTTGTCCCTGAGGAACAATTTCTTGCCCTGGAAGGTTTTGGAGGCCTGTGCCAGGCTGGCCAGGGCAGTGGCGGAGTCCCCACCCCTGGGGGGGGTTCCAAGACGTGGAGATGAAAACTGGGGACCTGGCAGTGCTGGCTGGGAACCTCCAGGGAACACCCTCAGCCCACAGCCACCCTGGAATGTGGGCACACGGCTGCTGTGCTTGTGCCTGGCTCCCAGGGCAGGTGCAGTGCCCCAGGATGGGTGCCCTGGCAGGGACTGAGGGGACAGGCAGTTCTTGTCCCCACTCTCCTGTGGCCACCAGCTCCTGGGCACCTTCTCTCAGCATGAGCTGCTCCTGAGCAGGCACTGGCAGGTGGGGTGGGTGGGAAGGCAGCACACCCTTTCCTTTTCCCTCCTGCCTTCTGGGCATTTTCTGACAAACCAGATTTTTCACTCTTGTTGCAATCGTAACGAGCTTGCAATCGATGTTGTATCTTTTCTGGACAGAATAACTGAGGTTTCCCAACGTTCAAAGCAGCAGATGATATTCTGCTGAGGCTCAGGGCTGGGCCAAATTCAGAACTCATGTTTTATTCTTCTTTAATTCACCTTTTAATGTTGGTGAAGTGACAAAAAGACCCGTGGAGCAGCTGCAGTAGGACCTGGTGCCAGAGAGCACCATGAGGCCCCTGGTGCAGAGATGGAGGGATGGTGGAGGAGAACCAGAGCCTGACCCCGGGTATGCTCCAGCCAGCAAGGGGCCTGGGGAGCAGGAGTTAATCCAAACGGGACTTTAAGGTGTTTTCTGCCCAGGGAGCTCTCTGCAGAGCAGGCTCGCCCTGCGCTGGAGAAACGGCAGGACCGCAGAGCCGCTGAAACGCGGGATCGTGCTGCACTCTGCTGGCAGCACAGCCCCGGCACAGAGCCTGCCTGCTCCTGGGCACTGCCCACCCAAAACAGGGGCTCCAGCCCCGGCACAGAGCCTGCCTGCTCCCCGGCCACGCCAGCCCCGGCACAGAGCCTGCCTGCTCCTGGGCACTGCCCACCCAAAACAGGGGCTCCAGCCCCGGCACAGAGCCTGCCTGCTCCTGGGCACTGCCCACCCAAAACAGGGGCTCCAGCCCCGGCACAGAGCCTGCCTGCTCCTGGGCACTGCCCACCCAAAACAGGGGCTCCAGCCCCGGCACAGAGCCTGCCTGCTCCTGGGCACTGCCCACCCAAAACAGGGGCTCCAGCCCCGGCACAGAGCCTGCCTGCTCCTGGGCACTGCCCACCCAAAACAGGGGCTCCAGCCCCGGCACAGAGCCTGCCTGCTCCTGGGCACTGCCCACCCAAAACAGGGGCTCCAGCCCCGGCACAGAGCCTGCCTGCTCCTGGGCACTGCCCACCCAAAACAGGGGCTCCAGCCCCGGCACAGAGCCTGCCTGCTCCTGGGCACTGCCCACCCAAAACAGGGGCTCCAGCCCCGGCACAGAGCCTGCCTGCTCCTGGGCACTGCCCTTCCCTGCCCACACCACCCAGGCACGGCCAACCTGCCCCAAAAAAGGGGTTCTCCCTGCGGCCGTGGGCAGAAAGCTGGGCAGGTGGGGAGGATGCTGGACTCCACCCTGCTGGCACATCCTCCGGCCAGGACTGTGTGGGCAGCTCAGCTGCTGTTTAAACACTGAGCTGGCTCCTCACTGGGAAATTCTCTCTGGGAACTGCAAACTCATTCTCTACAAAAACGCTGTGGAATCCAGACCACCACGACTTGCTAAATATCCACAAATGTTACCAAAGGCCAGGGAAGCAACTCAGAGACAGCATCAGTGGATGGTACCGAGTCCCCAGCCACTGAAACCATGGAATCACAGAAATGTTCTAGCTGGAGGAACCTTTCAGATCATCCAGTCCAACCATCCCCCAGCACTGCCCACCACTGCCCCGTGTCCCTCACCCCACATCTCCACGGCTTGGACACACCTTCCAGGGGTGGGGACTCCACCCCTGCCCTGGGCAGCCGGCCACAGCCCTGGGCACGTTTGAATGAAGGACAGCAAGGCACGTGGGTACATACCAGCCCGCTGGCCTTAACCAGGGGAGCTTCCAGGTCTGGGTAGACGTTCTCCAGGTACCACCGGAAACTTTTGCACTGCAGCTTCTTCCGCAGCTGGATTTGTTGAGTCAGGTCACCAACATCCAGGTTTTTCAGCACTAAGTGGTAAGCGTGGCCGTAGAATAAGTCCTTGTACTCGTCCAGCCAGACCTCTGCCACACGGGCCAGGTTCCTCTCCACCGTCCTCACCCTGTCCCTCGGGAAGGAGTAGGGGTTGTCGTTCCTGAAGATGTGCCCAACTCTGGAGCACGGGACTATCTCAATCTCTCCTCCACACATCCAGACCTGAGAAAGAGAGGTTGCTCTGACAGAAACGCCAGCAGATGTTGGGTGCTGGCTTTGTGCAAGCCACAAGAGGAGAGCGGTAGGTAAGCGTAAGCTGCCAGGAGGGGTGGGGTCTCCAGCATGGGGCTGTTCTGGGGAGCCCCTGGCTGAGCCCCAGCACCCCAGGCAGGCTGGCAGGGAGGCAGGCGTGCAGGACAGGCTGCCCACAGCAACGTACCTTGAAGGAAATCTCCATATTTTCACCTCCCCAAACATCCAGTCCTGGGTCATATGTTCCCAGCTCAAAAAAATACTTCTTGTCGATGGAAAACAGGCCACCTGCCATGACTGGGCACCTGGGGGCAGAGGTGACAGGGCATGCCAGCGGGTCAGGCAGTGCCCAGCCCTTGCCCTGCACTCTGACAGGGGCATTGCTGAGGAGCTGTGGGCTATGAAATGCTCGAGGGCAGTGCCTGAGCCTGCACTGAGAGACAGCAAGGACCAGCCACCCGTCACTGCTGCAGGCTGACAGATGCCACCGTGGCCACTGCCCGTGGCCCTTCCAAGCCAAGGAACAACACTTGGCCTGGAAGGAGCTGCTGTTCCTAAATTATTAAAAGTTTGGTTCACAGATCTCTTACCTTTTATTTTTTTTACCTTATTATATCAGTTTCCTTGATTTTATTTTTCTCAATAACCTCTTGTGGAATCTGCCTCCATCCAAAATTCATTGGCCAAGTAAAAATCCCACGCTGAAAGTTGTCCACGGTCATGTAACTAAACAGGGAAAAGATGGGGATGACTAATTCTGAGTCACATTCCTGATTGAAATGTCACCCTTAATGAGCAAAGATGAGTGTCTGTATGTAATTAAACCAGGATTTTAACAAATTTCATCAGGAATCCTCTTCATGTGCTAAAAGTCATGAAAAAGGGAAGAAGCCCGTGGGACACGAAGGGGCCACGGCTGCTGCTAACCCCCATTTCTGGTGCACAGCAACGTTGTGCATCCCTTCTGAAATGCTGCTGGTGGCCAGCGAGGAGGCCTCAGCCTGCACCTCTCTGGGATTCCTGTGTCGGTGGTGCCAGGAGGAGGTTTTGCTCAAGGCTCTGGCATGGATTTGGGGTGCCCGGGGCCTCACCTCATGTCCTTGTCGCTGATGACCTCGATGACGGGGCAGGCGACCTTGGTGCGGCTCAGCCGGACCCTCTCCAGCAGCGGCTCCAGCCACCCCACGTTGCACTCCACGTGGGAGTCCAGGAACGTCAGGACAGCCCCTGCAGCAGGGCCCGGGGCACCGTCAGGCCTCACGTGCTGGGTACCCCCAAAGCTGGCCGCCCCCCCTGCGAGTTCAGGGTGCTGCTGGCGCTGCCGTGACCCTCCACAGCTCCCAAAACCCTCCTGGCCACAGCCCAGGGCAAGTTTTCACTGCTGGGCCACTGTGGGCTGCAGAGCAAAGAGGATCCTGGAGAAAAGGCCATCCAGTGCCAACACAGCCCAGCCTGGGCAGGCCAAGGAGCTGGGGTGGCACAGGTGGAGATCCTGACTACTGCTTGCTAGGGCCATGCTGAGGTGCTGGACAACCAGAGAACTGTTTTGGTTGGAAAGGACCCTTAAGACCATCAAGTCCAACCCTTCCCCAGCACTGCCAGGTCCCCACTGACCCATGTCCCTCAGCACCACATCTCCACAGCTCTGAAACCCCTCCAGGGGTGGGGACTCCACCACTGCACTGAGCAGCCTGGCACAGGCCTGGGCAACCCTTGTGGGGAAGAATTTGTGCCTCATGCCCAACCTCACCCTCCCCTGGTGCAATTTCAGGCCTTTTCCTCTTGTCCTGTCCCTTGTCCCTTGGGAGCAGAGCCCGACCCCCCCCTGGCTCCAGGCTCCTGTCAGGAGCTGTGCAGAGCCAGAAGGTCTCCCCTGAGCCTCCTTTGCTCCAGGCTCAGCACCCCCAGCTCCCTCAGCTGCTCCTCCCCACACTTGGCCTCTAGACCTTAAAGCCAAGACACTCATCAGACAAGCTGCAGCTCATGCACTTGTCAGACCTTCATGCTCCACATACCAAAAGACACCCTTGGTTCACTGGGAGGGGATGAACTCTCAGAGCTGGAGATGGCTCTGGGGGGGTGCAGGCAGGGCTGTAACATGGCTTTTGTCTTCCTACCTTTGGCAATCTCTGCTCCCGCCAGCCTGGCCCGGATCAGACCGTGCCTCTCCTTGAGATGCAGGATCTTCACTTTTGGGAACCGTGACATGTATCTGTCCAGCTTCTCCTTGAGGTACTCTGCAAGGGAGGAGAAGGAGAGGGTTAGGTTGACTTACCCACGTCACACCCACTCCTAGATTGAAAAGCAGTGGGCATATTTTCCTTGGAAGTATCTTCAGGACACATCAGGATCCTCAGATCTGGGCCATGAACATCTGGGCACAGCTGCAGAGCTTCTGGTGCACAGCATTGTGCCCCAAGCCTGCTCCTAATGAAACTCCCAACACTGTCAGTGCCAGCAGGTTTAGGATGAAGCTTTTGGTGACAGGCCATGAGCAAAGTCTCAGTGGTCTGACCTGGGTAGTTCATGATCCAAACCAGGTATCAAATGGTTGCTCAAAGTCTCCAAAATGAATGTTTTCCTTCCTTCTGGTATAACCACAATTAAAATCTGGTTATGAATTGTTTTCCTATTTTTATTTTGTGCTCTACAAGTTTCTCAGTATGAAGCACCACGTGAAGGACTCAGCCTGGGCTCACACTGCACGAGGGTTTGCTGGGGCACATCTCAGCTTCTCAAGGTTGCTTTTGTCACAGTTTCCTTTGGCTGGGGAGGCTGCTGGTGGCAAACTCCCAGGAAAAAGAGGGTGTGAGGAAGGGGGTCTGGGACACCCGAGTGCCTGGATGTCCAGTTCATGGGTGGCTTCCCTCCAGCAGGAGAGCCCAGCAGCCTCTGCC